CGACATTCGAAGCCCCGGGCAACAACGTCACTCGAACTTATAATTCGATCGACAGACCGTATTTGTGATACCGCAAACAAGCTTGTTTGCCTCTTTCCACGCGCTGTGTGGCAGAATCGATCGATCATTCTGTCACAAAACGAACGATGGTCGAAATTCTCTTCCTTGATGTAATCAAATATTTTATAAGATAAAAGATTTTGTTTCCGCGTATATGTAAATTATTTTTCTCAACGTAGAATTATATATATATATATATACATCAATGCTAAGGCGCGATAATGTCAACTAATTTTTCACGCTGCTATAAAATCATTCATCATTTAAAACAAATTTTATATAGCTCTAAATAAATTTAAAATTTTATATATATATATATATAATTGGATAATTTTCTTTATAATCAATAAATTGAACACGTTTCTGCTGGTTAAGAGAAATATCAGAGTAATTCTCTGTGATCCTTTAAAACAAAATTAATATACGTATACATATACTGAAAAAAATACTAAATTTTAATACATATTTGTTCGAATATTTCAAAGTAAATATTTATTAAATATAAACATATATTTATTCGATGCAAAAACCATTAATTTGATTTAATTATCATTTCTTTGTTGAATAAATATTTATTTACTCAATAAAACAACAAATGTTTACTTAATACTTTTTAAAGAAATATGTATTAGGATTTAGTAATTTTTTTTTAGTGTGTATAAAATTTAATTATTCTTGTGTAAAATATAACAAATCGATTAGATCTTTGTGAGATCATTACATAGAAATTCTTTACCTTGAAATGCCATCATCTTCCTTGCTTTCCTTTCTTGTCACATCTATGACGCTTCCTGTTTTCTCTGTCAGACCTTCGTGCAGGATCATCAGTTCCGGCCTGTCTGGCTGTGCCAGACTGCCGATTTTGAAGGGAAATTGTTCCTGCGTCTGATCCTTGGCTAATCTTTTCGAACCCTCGCTTCCGGTTCTGCTGAGTCGCCTCTCCTTGACGTCTCTACCATCCTCACCCGTCTGCTCGATTTTTTCGCCGTTATCGGAGACTTTCGACAGATCCCAAAGAATCTCCGGCCTCAGATTTCTCACAGAAACCTTGCGATCCTCGTCGGAACTAGGCCTGCCTTCCGCTAAAGTGCTCTCTGACGTCGATTTCGCTAAGGCGGGCAGCTGCAATGACAAGGCGTCGACGATTTCCGGTGATGGCGCCCGCGTTAGTCTCGTTTTAATTGTCTCTGGAATGAGATGCACTTCTGGTGGCGAATGGATCTCGATTCTGGTGATTGCCTCTTCAAAGCGAAGCGCAGACGCCTGTTCCGCCGTGATGATCCTGGCAGTCACCAGCTGGACCTCTGGCAGCAGGTCGGTCATCTGATACGTGACAGTTACACATCGAAATTAGGAGCCGATTTTATTATTTTTAATTTTTCACTTACAAGTAATTTTTTTTAGCAAAAGCAGTAACAAAATTGTTTTTTAATAACAAGACAGTGCCGTCTTTAGAAGATTAAGCAGAATTGACCAATCGATTGACACGATTGACATTCGACTCGATCAATCGGAGGTAATGAAACCGGTTCTAATACAAACAAAACAAAATATGTGGAATTTTTAAGAGTTTGAAAGGATTATATTAAAAAAGATCAATCCATTCACCTGGTCGCTCGTATCATCAAAGAAGATCTCCTGTACGTCCTCTTGAATTCTGACACCCTTTTTTTCTTCCAACAATGATTCTCTTGAGGACTCTCTGGAGAAGGAGTCTCTCCTTTTTCTCAACGAGCTCGGTCGTTTCGTGGGCTGCTGAGCCGCCGGTTCGGGTTGCCGAATCTCTGAAACGGCTACTCGTTCGAGAGTTGGCCGTTGTTTCTTGTCCTCCGAGAATTTCTTGACGTCCTTTGCGAGTTTTGAGTCTCTCAGAGAATCTATTGTTTCTTCCACCACCTCAGATACACTTTTTAGGCTCTCTTTCCTCTTTGTAGATACGATGGACGTTTCGATTGTCGTTGAGAGGCTCACGGTTTCCTCTTCTTTGCTAATAACTGATGGACGTTTGACTCGTTGCTCATCTACGACTTCGGGAACGGAGAGCTCCGCAGTTTCGAGGCTGACGCTTACATCAGAATAAGACGGAATGCTATGCCTCGTCAGGAATTCCGTCACCCTCTCGATGCATTCCTGCTCCTTCAAGCTCTTCCTCTCCTCCCTCGATCGTCGATACGTCTCCTCGTCTTTCTTCGCGAAATCTTCGCCTTCGTGTTTCCGCCTCGACGAATCCTCCCCCATCTTCCGTTCAGTCTTGATGGATTTTTTTCCCGACTTTTTCGATCGTTTCTTACCATCTCCCTTCTCCATGAAGACCTTCTTCTTGGCACCTTTTTCCGACGATGTATCCGACTTCTCCAATGTCTCCCTCGACGTGGACGTTCGCCCTTCGGATTCTGCGCTGCTATGACGCTTCAGGCTTTTCCTACGTTGTTGATCCGTTTCCCGCACCGATCTCATTGTCATGGTGACCCTGGATGTGTCCTCCGCACTGGAAGACGGCTCTTCCTGAACGGGAGGCACGCGATCCAACTCCAAAGACGATTGCTTTTTTAATTTCACCTTTGGAGCCACCTTTTCCATCCTCGCCGGAACATCCTTGGTGTGCCTGGGTATCCTCGTCGTTTCCACGATTATCGTGCCGCCATACGACACGATACTCGTCTCCTCGCGCATTGTTTTGGACGTGGTAGGATAGAATTCGTGAATAATCTCGACGTCGTTATCGACATCGATATATCTGGTCGGAGACCTCTTGTCGCGATGATGGAGTTTGGGAGGTCGTCGTACTGGACTGCAAACCGGCGTCATCGGAGAAGCGTCTTTCCAGTGGTCCTCCTCCTCGTCCTCGTCGATTTCCGGTTTGTTCGTCGAGGTTTCGGTCAGTCCTGCGTACGGCAAGAATTGTTCGTGAATGCAATTGCGTCGGTATACAGAAAAATTTTGCTGAACTATCTAAAAATTTAGTTAATATTACATCTGAAAGTATTTTTTATTGAATTATCAAAATGTTCGTGTAAGGTAACTCAAGCATCGATGAGCAATGCTGCAAAAAATTTTCATATTCTAGCAATCAATTTGAACGTTCTATATAATTATTCTGATGGTCCAACAAAATTTATTTTCCGATTTGTATCTAGCGGAATATTTTTAGATATATTCCGTGTAGATCTTCGATAATGTTCCATTTTTATCGTGGTGCCTGAGGTAATTTAAAGAAACGTGGAGATCGAATCTCTCGATTAATCGTTTTCAACCCAATAAATTTTCCAATTTTTATTATCGAGGAATCACGTCGATAAAAACCGTATTGAGCAAAATTATTTTTACTATTTAAGAAGGAAATATCGCATGTTATTCCGCAATGTATTAAAGCGCAGTGCGCTTTTATACGTTATCTATAAAGGAAATCTAGTCTAATCGTGAGATCAAAATTGATGGTTTTCGTATATCAGACTTGAATGGTAATGGCAAATTGCCACGTTACGAGATATATACATATCTTGCATAGCAAAAGGAGATTCCGCTCCTGTCAGAGGAAGAAAGGGGAGGCTCGTATAGAAATCACGATAGTATGTTTCGCGAAACAAGACGCGACATATCCCCGTTTCGGAACAATAGGAATATATGAAATATGCTGGAATAGTCGGAAAGTACTCGTTATTGAATGGAGCGTGATTTATACGATTCGCTTTTGGAATGCGACACAGGCGTGATCGATAAAAATTATATGAGCGAAGTTATAAAGTAGTTTTATAACACTAAATTAATATTCTTTGAATAAAATTATAATGTAGAATAAAGTTAGTGAATTGAGCTCATGATAGTATCCAGGGTAATAAAAAAACAAACGAGGCCAATTAACGGGCGAGATAGAATATTAAATATATATGTAATATTTATTTTAAATTACAGAAGTTCCAACATGTAATAACTAAAACTGAATGTTTCGAGGTACATAAAGCCCTTTAGTAGCGATATTAAAAAATATAAATAAAGATCAAAAATATAGATATGCTAAAAAAATTTAACGAACATAACAGAAAAAGAAACAGACACGTCTGCCTTCAATCATATATAAGTCAAAACAAAGTCACATTTAGGTCAAATAAACAAGTAGTGATAATAAAGTAAAAAATAAAATTACAATACTTATTATAATATGCAATTAGAAACATATTATATTATATTTGTGTTAAAACCGACCCTAGTTATAAAATTTTCGATTTTTAATTTTATGTTGAATTCTTAACATTCTCGAATATTAATTTAACATAGTGAGGGTATGTTTTTAATATTTTGTGTGTGTGTTAAATTGATATTTTATATTTTTAAAAATAATGCAATTTATGAGTAATTAATTAAATAACATAAAAAAATTTAGTTTTAAATATAAATTCTACGATAAATTAATAAAAAATATATGTGAGAGTGCATAATTTAATATATTATTAATTAATTTTACTGAAGAAGTATACTTTCACAATTTGTTTCTAAATTGTAAAAGTATCATATTTGTGTGTTAAAATTTTTATATTACACAATGTTTATATTACTTTCTGTGACATATAGTTTTTAACATCTACAATGTCTGCATCATGTAATATATACATTATGTATATCTTGTGTTAAATTAACATAAAAATTTGGAATGAACTATGTAGAGCACGTAAAATGTGTTAATTTAACACAAATTTTCCAATTATATAAGATATTTTAGTTTAATTAATCTTCCTAAAACTTCTCCCATTAAATAAATAACGAAAGCTGTTACAATTAAATGCACCAATCTCGTTGTAAGTTGATTCGAATTTTTTACTCACATCCTCACACATTACAAAGTTTATAGAGCAAAGAAAATATACCTGATCTCGAAGAAAGCAAGTCTTCAACCTCGGCTGCGCGATCTGTCGTCTCACTCTCGTTGGGAAAACTTTTGCTCCGTTTGATCTTCGGTGTCATCCTCTGCTACAAAATCGAGCAGCGTAGAAAGTGAGCAAAAGAGACAGGAGTTAGACCATTAGTACAAACTAGCGAGACAATTACTGTTCTAAAATTACGCATTTACGAGAACTGGCTTGCGTAAGAGAAGAAAGAAGCTGCAATTTCGCAACAAATGGCAATTATAATTGATATTATTATAGGAATGAATCTTATTCGTAATTCCAAGCATTTATTAATTAATACAATTTATATTTCTTGACGATATTTCTTGAGGAGACGGCATAGTCTTTTAATATCTCCGTGCAAATGTTAAGCTATGATAACATTGATATGAGAGAGACTTCAATTGACGCGAATGGTGTTGAAATAGCATAATTTCATTTATATGCATTTGAAATGCATTAATATGTTAATCAGATCGTACGTGCATGTATTTTCACGAATTTTGATCTAGCGGAGATAATTCTGTAGTGAGCGTGCCACGTATTCAGATTTAAATTACGTCGGAGGGTGTATACATTGGAAACATGCTGCGTGCAAACGTAAATACAGATCGTCACGACGGGAATCAACAATCACGTGAATTCTACGTATATTTATACCGCCAATTGCACAAATCTCGAGAAACTTTTTAGAGGAAAAATAAAACGAATCGTCTCGTTGTATACATAGACGTTGCTTAACAATAAGTTTGCTTCGTAATCTCTTTGCTGCCACGATAATCCAGTTAAGGGAATAGTTTCATACAAATAGGATTGTCTAGAAATCCGCGAACATCGACGATACAGTACATCGTTGTGCAGTTGAAAAATGATTTTTGTTCTAAGAAAGAGGCTACTTATATTAAATTCAATAATATATTTATTGAATTTAATAATATACCTAATTAATATCGAAATATGAACCTCAATATACATGAAGCTCAATACTAGAAATGAGATGCTGATGCTTTAATACTAGCATTAACTACACAGGCATTCGTAATTAATGCGGCAATGCATTAGGGAAAGATCTGCAAAGTGACTAAACATGATTTGCCAAAGGCATATATGTACTTATTCACTGTTAACTAAATCAGATTCAGAGTATTACCAAATGCAATTAAATAATTGAGCGGACCGAATAAATAATTCTATACACGTCATGAAGTTGTTCAGTGAATAGTTTTTTTTTCGATCGAATATATAGAACAATTTCAAAACATGTTTACACAAATGCTAATTTTAGATTAGAGTGAAAATGCTCGTATATTTTCAAACCAAATAAACAAAGTCGTGGTTTATTTCGAGCTTGTAATTAGACTGACTTTAAATTATTACAATTAACATAACAATGTAAATACTATATAATAATCTAAATAGAATAAAATAATATTTTCAAAAATGTATATGTATAAAATTACGTTTCGGCTTACAAAGCCTTTTTCAGTGTAGCATAAAGCAAACATATGTATATTATTAAATTAACAAACCAATTAGATAACGCATATATATAAATCATCAGTAATGTGTTAATTCATATAAGATTCGAATGTCAAAATGTGTTAAGACAGATTATATAAAATAAAAAGAATAAAATACTTCGATCAAAAATAGATTAACATAATGTCCTTCGATAAATTTTTTGCCAAATTCCTCGGTTAAAAACAAAAAATCCAGTTTATCGCAGACTTGAATCATTCGATTTGAGAGTTCAATTGTTATGAATATTTTATGATATTGTTAATTTATATAAAATATTGTAATTAAAAATCTCAATCGGAGATCTGGTCAGGTACATTAAAATTAGAAGTTGTTTGTTACTCATTTCAAAATTGACAAAATTGATTGCTAATTTATAAATAAATAATATAATAGCAGTATCGTAATATGTGTTTAGAGAATATTTTAAAATTCCATATAAAATTCTACGCTCATAAAATCTGATATAAGAGATAATTAAGCACGTAATTAATAAATCTAAAATTATAAGCTTTGTAAAAATTTTAGTATTATATATACATATATATAGAAAACTAAAGTTAATACATATGTATTGTTTGTCGATAGAAAAGCAAATTTCAGCTTTTCAACACAAATTTAATCGTTACGTAACGCCATTGTGCTATTCGTCGATCGATTCATTTCTTTCGAGCCATTCGAGTAATTCGATCGGCGTATCAAATGGCGATGAATCTGCTCGAATGGCAAAGGAATTAGTCGGCACTCTCCGAACGTGCGAACAAAGCGGATAAGAGTAGTTATGCAAAGGCGTTTAAATCGAGAGACAGAATTTGCTGCGCTCGCCTGAAAATTAATTAATTTCTTGGAGCTGTCAAACAACTTTTACTTGTCATTTATTAATGCGTACGGAACATTTAAATAATAAATAACATCTTCTATTATATGTACAAGACGAGCAACCTACTGGAAAGAAATATGGAGACTTACCTATAGAACTTGATATATTTTATCACGAAATTCTCATCCAACTCATGCAGTTTGCGATAAGTCGCTAATAATGAGGGATTCGTGTTGGGTACCAGTTGCATTACGGAACATCCATATTATTTCGATAGCTTATTTCTTATGAAAATAATAACGCTCGTATGCAAAATGAACGATTTCGCTGAAATATCTAAAAGATTAGATAGATACAGATTTGAAAATAATTTTGTTGGATTATTAAAATATTTATATGTAAGTAATTTAATATATATAAGTATACTAAGCAGTGTTGCAAAAAGTTTTGACATTCAAACAATCAATTTAAATATTCTAATTATTTTGACAGTCCGACAAAATTATTTCCAATATTATGTAAAGCTAAATTTTTAGATATCTCTGCCAACTGTTCCTTCTGTGTAGCATATGACAAAACTGTCGCTCCATCAATAAATAAATTTGCATAAACCAATTCGAAACCATCAATTTCAAGCAACAAAATTATTTATCAGTGGATTTATTTTAAAATTCAATCTGGATTATACGTTGCAGAAAAAATCGAATTAATTAAAGATTTTTTGACTGACATTATAGCGGCAATAAAAAAAAAAAACTTTCGAAGGAAAAAAGGCTGCGAGAATAATTCAAGTGATATCTGATTAATGATATTTCATATCTCAACATCATTTCATATCATATATGTGCGTTCAGTATATTTCTATATTTCTGATAAAATGTAACAAAGTTAGTGATACAATTTCACATAACGATCGTAAATTTTAGATACATTAAGAATGGAGCCGAGGAAGAAACTACAAAATCGTTGTTGTTTGAAATCATGCTCGATTTTAGTAGGTTATATAAGAATTCCTTATTTAACAAGTAAACATGTCGACAACGTGAAAAATCGAAGGAACACGTCGACAAAATGTCGACTGTATTAATTATTTATTAAGCATATTAATTTCATATTGCATTATTAAGCTCATATTGGTGAAAGAGAGAAGTCCTGAATAAACAAATAAAACGATGGGATATACGTTTTGTTCCTTTCTTCTCGATTTTTTTCCTTTCCTTCGACTTCGCGTTTTTTAATTAGCGTGAAATTATATTACATTCCTTGTTCTTTTCGATTAATTGTTATATTAAAATGGGCATAAACGAGGACATAGTGCTTGTTCATGGTACTTTTATTTTCTATTTCTGTTTTGGTTTTTTGGTCGATAACTGCAGTAAAGGTATAACTCGTACGGATCCGCCTCGACGTTTACGCCTCGCTCTGAAAAACGAAAAAGATACGTCATCATTAGAAAGATACATTGTGTGTGTGTGTGTGTGTGTGTGTGTGTGTGTGTGTGTGTGTGTAGTTTGAATAATTACGTGTGACTTATGGTTCTTCCGACAATAAACTTTTACCACGTCGCATTTTCGCTAAACTCTACGAAGCGTGCCAACGCGACTATAGCTTGTGTTTTTTAATTTATCTTTTTTTTAAATTTCTATATACGTAAAATGAAACAAATGGTTGTTTTTAGAAAAATAGGGAAAAAAGTGCATACGAAGCATCTCTAAAGAAAAAAAGACAATGTTACGTGCACTTAATGCATCGCAGGAAACGCATAATGGGAATAGAGGAAATTTATATTCGTATTTTACTATAAATATAATCGTGTAATTATGTATTTTATGTACATTTATATATTTTTTTAAATATTTCATATAGAACGTAATAAATCTTTATTAAAAAATACTTGTAAAATATTGTAAATAAAACAATTATGTAAACATGGGAAGGAAAGTAAAGATTTACCGGTGCCGGTTTACTGTATCAAATAAAAATTACATTTTTACATATTTATGCGCCACATATAAAGATGCAAAATATAAGAATTACGATAAAAAGTCAAATATATGACGTTCATCCATCCGTCAATAACATTGCGATAATTACACCTTTATTAAAAAAAATAAAAAATAAAAAAAAAGAAGTTCCACAGAACATTCAACATCGACAGCCGTGGAGCAATTTTATCTTTTACGGAATAACGCGAAGTTCATGTTTCAAAAAGAAAATTCGCACACGATAAATCTCGAAGCTAAGTCGAGTCTCGTTTTCTCAACGAACGAGTCCAGCTGTTCGTAAAATATCTGACGAAATTTTTCTTGCGGTAATAAGAATAACAGCGCGAAAAAGATACTCGGGCGAAGAAAGAACTGAAGAAGGCCGTTATGATAAATGCACCTGGCGCAAGTGCCCCGATAAGAACAAATGACTTACGTAATAACTGTATCTGCTGTACGCTTCTAAGAACGTGCAAAGAATCGTGTCTTCGCGTAAGTAATCGTCAATTTTAACGAAGAAGCGCGAAAAGTTCTGCAAACATTTCTTTTTCCAGTTTCTTTAAGAACGGAGAAAGAACAAATACGTCAAGGAGTTTTGGAAAATACGTACTTTCGCGCAATCTTGAAATGTTTTCTTCCCTAATATTTGTTACTGTGTACAAGTTATTTTCAACTTTTATAAAAATGTCAGAAGTATTTTTATATAAACATCATTATATAATATAAATAATGATTTATTATTATTTAAACATTTCTTCTTTAAATTCTGATTATATATATAAATTAATCCGTCGTCTAATTACTTATTTTACGTCGTCTTTATTCAAATCTATTTTTAACTTTTTGCGCGTCGTTGAGTCACAGAAATGAGTTTCCGACGAGATACTGTCCGCGCTTCACTTACAACGCAAACTTACGTGACATTTCTTGCGAACAGAAATACATAATCTTCCTGTTCGCGCGAACTGGTTAATTTAGCAGAAAGCTTTTGCGGGATGCTTTACAAGTCATTTGTCTAAACTATGACTGCGCAACATTTATTTCAGCATCGCGCAATTCTGTCGGAATCAATTACATTGAAATATTTAGTCTGTGTGAAGCGAAGTGTTGCGAGCATGCTGCAACACGCGACAGATAGATCTATTAGGAGGCGCTTGTTGGCTTTTATTTTTCCATTAAGGTGCGGATTGTCATTCTATGCAAGCATTTGCAAGAGTAGCGACTGTGACTGTCAAGAACAAATCCGAATGGCAGGAATACCGGAGGGAAAAAAAACTTAACGTGCATCCCTGAAGTCTGAGATTGCATTTTGCACGCGCGTCAATAGGAAAACTTTCATTTGGGTTATCGTTGTCTTTACTGTTGCAAGGAAACTGTTATGCGTATGTGCGAATATCACGAAGAGAATCCCGTGTTAAACGTTTTATGCAACTTGCGTAAATGAAGCTTGTAATAGGCGCTATGCACACAGCGAGGAAAGGGGTGGAGAGTTACAACATAGCGATAAACGACAGCGACACCGGCGGTATAAACGATAAAAGAAAATGACAATGGCAATGAAAAACGGTGATAAGTTATATAAAGAACAGTAATGGCAACAGCAAAACGCGTGTGATAACAGTAACGATGGTCAATAAACGACAGCAATAAGGATTGATAATCGTGACTTTCGCGTGCCTCCGAGACTCGGCTTTAAAGATAATAACAAGAGCTTCACGTTCTAAGCGGTGAAGAAATAAGCCTGGAGGAGAATCGATTTATTACGTAACTTGCGGCTCAGATATCCCAGCGGCTGCCATCGAGGCTTATGTGTACCATCCGTTTCGCCCGTTCGAAGTAGTTCGAGTATCGGGAAGGCGGTCGGAAGAGTTCAGGTATAAACAGGTTGCGAGTAAGTAGTAAACGTACGTATCGATCCCCACGAGCCTCTTGATAATAGTGAAGAAAGGTGCCAGTGAGTAGTAGACAGTAGTGGAATGGTAGTAGAGCTCTACAAAAAGGCGAAAAGTTTGACATACGAGCTTGCTTGAGAGATCGCTTGGAAAAAAAAAAAAAATAGGTCGCTTAAAGAGATTTTGTGAGACAGCAAAAGGAAAATGCGACATAGAAGAAGAAGAAAAAAAAAAGAGAAAAAAAATCATGAAGTTAACGAGAGATTTAATATGACTTTCAACTTGTACTTGATCTTTTACTTGCCTCGTTTATATACGTTCTCACGATATTTCTCATTGTCTTTTCTTTTCCCCTCTTTTTCACTCTTTCGTCTCTTTTTTTTTTTTTTTCATTCTCTCGCCTCGACTACTTTGCCGCCGGCTCGAATCATTCTCTCGCGCTTTCTCTTTCACTCCAATTCCTTTCATTTCAATCTCTCCCGTTCACTCTTCACATTTCTCTTTTTCTTTCATTTCGTTTTTTATTTCTCACTCTCTCATTCTTTCATTCATATTTCGCATTCATATTTGCTAATCGCTTGTCTCAAATATATATCAGCTATTTTTTAAAAACTACTTTATCTATATCTTTCACTCTCTCTCTCTCTCTCTCTCTCTCTCTCTCTCTCTCTCTCTCTCTCTCTCTCGCTCTCTCGCTCACCCGACTGCAAAGAGACAAATGGCAAATGTAACATACTGCAAAGAAATCATAATTCCTCAAATGAACTTGCAACTTGCTAAACAAAGATCACTAGTACGATCGTGTGTGTTCGGAAGTGTGAGTTTCGGAAGAATTTTGAAAGTAATGTGAGAGAAGTCAGTCGAATGCAATAAAGTTTGTTTTGTTCAGCTACTCTACCAGGCAACTTTCATTCACTATTACAATCGTTTGGTTCTGTACTTACTTAGTTTTGTGATGGTCGGCAATATAAACCCCATCCGCGGTAAACACCGAGCGCTATTACCGAAAAAAATCTCTCTTTCGCACCCATCTCTCATTCTTTCTCTCGCTCTCTCTTTCTCTCCCTCTCTCTCTCTCTCTCTCTCTCTCTCTTTTTGTACGCCGCATCTTTAGCGTTTCTCCATTTTTTTCTCTGACAACCGAGATAACTCGGCGCCAAAAGATATTCGTACACTTCTCATGTTCGCTGAACCTTTCTCTTTTTTTTATCACCTGTTTTCTCATTCTCCCGACTGACCACCGTAAAGAAATATAAAACTAATCGAAAGTTGGATATCATGACGGAATTATATTGAATAGGAACAGAAGGATTATATCAGTTGTACTGGTCAAAGTGGACCGAGACAATCTATATATAATAATATACAAGAAGTATTTTAGAATTACAGTTAAGTATGCATGATCTTCTGATTTTTCTTTCAATCGATTTCTTAAATCGAGAATACAGAGATTGCATCAAGATGCATACATAATTAACATGATTTTCAAAAATCATGGATATAAACCTAAGAAAGATATAATCTACACACTTCTTTCCCAAATATAAAAATTGCATAAAAGACAACTTTTGGCAATTTCTATCAGATGGTCGAGCGTCCTCTTTCTATCTCAAATATATGAAAGACGAAATATGTATATGCATTATCGCAATTGTTATCACTTTAACACACTTTAACACAATTCAAATCCTGCCCCGCAATTCGGTGAACGAATCACGCACGAGAGGATTTCCAGAATTGGAAATCTTTCCATGGCTTATTTTCTCCGTGCGAGTGTTTAAACTTCGCGATGAAGCCCACTTAATCCCACAATGCGGGCCGCATCCCGAAGGCGACGCACGTAATTCGCTCGGTCGGAAGTCATATGAAACCAAGCGGGAAAAGGTTCGTCCATCAAAATATGCCGTTCGGCTGGTATATCTCGTCCGAAGGTATCGCATAAATCATTCAAAACACCTGGCTGCACCTCGGAATAACGCCAAGGGCGGCCTCGTAAAGTAACAGATTTCGCCGTTCTTATTGGCCGTTCTTTATGGATGTTCCGGTTGCAACGGTACGAACGCGGTACGGAAAAACTACATAGATATATTACAATGTTTAATATAAGTATATTATTTAGAAATGAAGAGTGTACCGCGCGGGTAAACGAGCTGAAAATGAAAAGCAAACGGTTAAAATCATGATGTAACATAAGCACAGGTGACGAACGCATAAAGAACTGGAATGGGTGGAGAACGGGGTGCTGCGGATAATGATAAATGAAATAAAAGAACACATATACGGCACTCTATCGGTGTGCAAACATACCGTAAAATTTTATTCGACGTTTAATTGTACTTTTTTTCGACTTATTTACCAATCAAGATACGTCAATTTTTATTCGTAACGTTTAATCTACCTCGCCACTTTCGCAAGTAGAAGACGCAGTAACGTCAAATTAGCACCTATAAATAAAATACTTGCGAAAATTCTTTAAGCGGGATATAACTATCAACAATTGCACAAATAGATAAATAATGATAAATAATTTTTTTACGCGATTGTTAAAACAACGCCTTTTGCGGTATGCCGTCATTACAGAATAAAAACTTAATGGCAATGGCGAGAAATACAATACAAAATCATCAACCTGAAACATACAAATCAACACAGTTCGGGATGCAAAGCACATTGAACGCGTGGTGCATTGCCGTGGGTGAATATTAAATGTAAATTGTTCCCACAATCGAATGTCGATAACAACGTGTTTGAAATAAATCATAAGTATATTTGGCATAAATTCGCGCTAAAAATGAATAAAAAAGGCTGTGTACAAATAATCTAATCTAAAAAAATCAGTCATTGCATATATAAATACCATTTGCGGTAATATTTCAAAAGGAAAAGGTAACGTAAGAGTACCAATTGTAAAATATAATCTATAAATATGAGATGAGACAACGGACTTAACACAAATGGACTACGTCATGCAGGCTTATAAGTAGATATTTTGCGAATTATCATAGCTCTAAAAATTCCAACACGATCCAACATTTTATTATTTCAAAATAAATGTGATCTCTAAATTTATGCTTTGATGTCTTGTAAAACAATCACACATAAATGGCAAGTATATGAAAGTATTTGTTAATACTATGTCGGTGCCAATTATGTTTCCTAAAATTCACTCTGCCAATTTCACCAAACGACAAACTTGTGCGTGCACACGATTAAAAAAAGAGAAAAACAACATATAAAATAAATAACAGACAGTTTTATCAATTTTTCTGATTTTTCTAACACACAAAATGGAACACAATGTTTCATGCTCGTATTATTCGATGACACTCACAAATGTATAGCTGTCGTATTTAGTATTATATATGTATATATGAAATGCAACAGGGACGGTTACTTCACTTTTATAGACGGAATCTCATTAGAAAATATGCATTCAGATTCGTATGCACATTAATGTTTTGTTTAATCAACGAGAGAATATTAAATTCGCTCGTGATTTGCAAGCGCAGTGATCGAATACGGTTAGCTGAACCGAGAATAATTCGATTGCGCGTTATTTCGGCTGTGCACGTCGACCGTCTCGAAGACACGCGAATCGCGGTGAAATTTAGCAGAGGCAAGAGCCTTGAGTCTACTGCTCCGATCAGAGTGACCTAATTAAAAACTCTCGGATTTAACGAGGTTATGCATTTGCTTCAAGTCCTCGATCAAATCCATATGCGGTGGCTCGGTCACGTTAATCTTACGCTCGCGGAAATACTCCCGTCTCTGTTTGTGGCTATCCACGATCGAGGAAGCGGTCGCTGCCTCGGTATCTCTATCTCTCGTAGCCTCGGTCCGGTCGTCTTGATCGCTCACCTGGACAATACTGTCTGGTATTGGCAGCGGTTTGGCCACGCCGATGCGAACGGTCCCCTTCGGGGCGCCTTTAAGGGCCTGCACGGCCTGGTCCAGTGTTGCATTCTCTAATCCGATGTCATTCACAAACAGAAGCCGATCGCCCGGTATTAACTGCCCGTCGACCTGTGCCACTCCGCCGGGCACGAGCGATCGTATTACTATCACAGTTTCGTTGGGGTTCATTGGATCCTAAAAGCGAAGACGAGCGGAAAACAGGTCGAACAGATTATTACAGATTCTCATCGAGATCGCGAAGAACCACCCCGGTACTACGGAAAAAGACGTTCGCACCTGATAATCCAAAATGGAGAACCCAAGGCCCCTCTCTCCTTTAACCAATTCGATAATTTGCGGTTCGGAACTCCACATCGCCAGACCGGTTAGCGGTTCCAACGAGCGCGACTTCATTTTATTCAGACTCGCGTCGGTCACCGTGGCCGTGGTCGTCGTCGAAGCCAAGGAACCGTCCGACTTTGCTTTCACAAGGCGATCCATCGTGGGCAACAAGTTTTGCAGAGACCCACCGAGGATACTCTACGAGATAACATAGATTTTTGCCGTAGTTTTCTTCTCTTAAAGCGCGATTTAACCGTTCGACAGCGAGACGTCGCGACCACTCCGTATACTCACTCTAGTTTGGAAAGCGGCTTGATGTTGAGCGGTGTCGATGGGGCAAAGTGGATCTTGCGAGGCGATGTTTCTTCCGCAAACCATGCGAACGTGTATAGGCAACTCTTTCAGCACGCTAACCACTTCCATATGATTGATGCCCAATAAACGATAGCCGTTTACCTTTAAGAAAGCACGATATCGATTTAAGACATATTGCTCGTGAGAGTGGAGCGTTTATCGAGCACTTTTGAAGGGGAGATATTATAGAGTTAAAGAGCTTCGCTGAAAATATATGAAAATTCGATAACCTCTAGCAACTCGTCGCCGGAGCGCAGCGTGCCGTTTTGTCCGACAGGGCCCTCCGGCAGGATCGAACGTATATAGTGATGAGGCCTTACTTCTTGACCGTTCTCCACATCGACCGTTCCCTCTAAGCTAATACCAAGACCACTACCTTCGGCAAACTTCTTCAGCTGGGCGACCTATTCAAACGATAAGGAACCGAAAAAGACATCCTTTCTCTGCGCGTTCTTATCTTACGACGAGATTGCGGTACTTACGACTATCTCGGTTTCTGGTCCGACAATTTTCTGCCATTTCGCTTTGATTGCCGCGCGAATTTGAGGCGTGAGTTCACTCGATGGATCACTCAATAGAGCTTCAACATTGGTCGCCTCGTCCTGCTCATCAGACGTTCTTAAACGTTCACCTTCTTGCAGAATTGCACTATCCACGGTGGTGTGAGATTCGCCTTCTGGTTCTATTTCAGTAGTGGTCTCTCCATCCTGGGGAAAAAACGCGCGCAAATGTAGATTTAATAATTTCAAATAGTACGAAATAATAATAACAACACGAATACAATTATATCGAAGCTTTATTATTTATTAATTATATATTATATATTAAAACAATAATTTCGATAATGCATAAATATAATTAAAATATATAATTTGAAGTTTATAATTGAAAAATTTCCGATACGCGCAACTAGGTGAAGAGTAAAATTTGAATCAATGTATGCAACTAGAACGCACAATAACGAAGTAATATATAATTAATGGAAAAGTACATTTTGCCTTTTTTTATTAAGTCACAATTGTTAATTGAACGTACTGCACTCATGGGGAAACTAGGTAGGCTCGTTATCGATGGTGAACTCGGCTGAGGTAATCTCAATTCGCTTGCGGCGATCGCTTGTTGAAGCTGCTCGAACTTTGGTCCACGAAGGTACCGCTCCAAGCAGAGAGTCACCGTCTGCCCTGTGCGCCTTAACACTTCAACGGCCTCGTGATTAGTGTAACCTTGCAGGGAATGTCTGTCGACCTCCACTATTCGGTCGTTAATCTGGATCTTATTGCTCAAATCGGCCGCGCTACCCTCGCTAATGCTCTTAACGAAGATTCCAGAAAGCTCTTCTGCAAGAGAGAATCAAAAGTTTTCATCTGGGATCCCTAAAGGTTTAAACAATTATCCGATCGATTCGCCTCAATAGCGGCGAATAGTTGCGACTCGCCCGCATATTTTGTTTTTGAATACACAATACTTTCAGCTACCCTTTGGCGTGCTTTCAAAACGTCAAAAACACTTGATGTGTGTATGGGGACGTATTCTCTATGACGTCGAGCTTCCCCTTACCTTTCTCGCAAACGTATCCGGCGATAGTAATCCCGAGACCGTAAGCGTCCTTCGTGAGATCGACTTCGAAGCGCTCCATCTCTGGCAGTGAATTAATGTCGAGGGGCTCCATGGTGAGCACCGGGAGATCCTGGAGCTGCATCGGAAGTGGCACCGCCGGTATAACTGGCATCGCTCCAATTGGCATTGGGTTGCGTACCACGTCCATGATGAGACCGGGTCTTGTCTGAAAGGAAACATTTTTCCGTGTCGCGGTGACTTCGGTATGACGAGGGTATGATATCGGCGCGGGAAGTGGAAGGAAGGTGGAAATGGGCCGCGTCGTGAGCGCGAAAAGAAATACGTGTTCGGTGCGACACTCACATGCATTTCAATGTCGGACTCCTGCGAATACATGTAGCCATTGTCGTAGCTACTGTCGCCCCGCTGCACGTGCCGCATGTTATAGCTCTCCGGTACGCTGTGCACCAGATGTCTGTCCAGCTCGTCCGGATCCCCCAGGATTTTCGTAGGTACGATCGGGGCGTGACTTCCGAGGGCCTGGAAGTATTCCGGAACGAGAAATTTTATGCGTCCCAATGCCACCTACGACTTCACCCTCCCCATTCCCTTGAATTTATATAGGAGACGAGCGCGCGTTTCTATGCCGCGCGACCAGCGTGTTCCAGGATTTTGAATTTCCAACGGTGTGTGGAAATTTCAATTTACCGGAGTAAATAAAAATGTTAACCGCCCCCGGCTTTTTGCGGCAAATCTCGTAGAATTTCTCGCGGAGATTACGTACGGATTGTGCGTGGAATAATAATTATGGGCTTCAACGTTGTCGCAGTGTACGATTCAATTTATTCTTGTGTGTAAAAGCAAACTTTATCGAGGTATAATTTAAAAAAAAAAAAAAAAAAAAAGTCTATCGTTGTGAATTGAAAAAAAATATCATCTTCGACAATTTTTACGGTTAATGAAGAATTAATTAAAGGATCGCTTTTTCAAAGCGCTGGCTCGTAATGCATCATTTTTTACGGTCTCCTTTTTTGTTTTTACAGATGTCAGAGATTATGTCACGTGGATTTTACCTTGGCTCGCAAGAATCGTGACAGGTCTCGAGGGAATTTTGCCGAGCCTCAACAAGTGATATTTACAAGTCGACAAGCAGCGAGGGACAGTTTGTTACTCTTTCAAAAAAAAAAAACAAAAAAATATTCAACGAAAGAATTCCTGTTCCGCGGCTGGTGGTAGAGCCGTGTCGCCGACTGTTTAATATTCGCGCGGGGAACGATGGTCGGAATTATACATGAAGTCGGAATATAAATATCGATCAAACGCGATAAAAATTGAAAGCCTACAAGGAAAAATCGTTCAGTTTTTTCGGGACGTTATAGAAATATCGAGTGCATTTCAATGTTTCTCTCTCTCTCTCTCTCTCTCTCTCTCTCTCTCTATTTCTCTTTTTATGCATCACTTGACCTCACCGAATAATGAAGATACTTTGTTTCCGCAAGCGCGCCCACGTTAAACGTTGAATTATTACAGAAGTCAGACAACAATGTCCGAAACTTAATTTATTAAAGCCCGCGAATTAGTTTCGTTATTTCGCTTTTAATGCGTCCGTAATTTATGCCACTCCTCGCTGAAGTACGATGACTCATTTGTAGCGAAAGATAAACTCGACTCGCGGACTCGCTGCCGTCGTTAAGTCTTCAACTTAAGTCTTAATCCCGCGGCGAAGTAATTACCATCTTTCGCGATTTCGAGCGTATGAGAAATTCCGAAGTCCATTCTACTCCATAATGGAATCCCACTTCGTAAAATACCTCATGCATTATTCATAATCTCCGAATTACAATCGGTCCTTGGTCACCGCGGCTCGTATAATTGCTTCGCGAATCGCGATGCGCTCTTCTTCGCGGCTAACATTCGTCGTCCCGAGAACTTCAGCGAAACCGTGGAATATCCGCGAACGTGGATCCGACTGCATCGATCGCATTGCAGTCGACAGATCAGTAATGTATCGTCCTAATGGCTTGCAGTTAGCCGGAATTTCATGCGTGAAGCTTTAGCCTGGAACCTCGCTCGCGAGTAGTCAATAAGGTAACAATGATGTACGCTAACCGTATATTCCGTACCATCAATCTCCAAACAGGACGGACACATTCTGAGCCCTTACATCGGAATCTAATGGCTCGCATCGCGCACGTAACTGGGGTACTTTAAATACGTACATTTGCGAAACGCGGACACGCTTCTAATTTGCGCGAGCTAGACAAATGGACCGAGTTTTAAACTATTATCCTTATTTCTTCTATACGACCGGGATTACGCGATTCTTATGGGAAAAGAATTGCAGCTTGTAAGAATATATTAGAAATTGCCGGCGGACAATATGTGCACGTCGCTGGAGTGAAAATAAATTATAAAGAAAGAAAAACTATCTTCTTTTTGAAGAAATAAAAAACTGTTCTATATTAATTAACCTTCCGTTAATTAATCCTTCAACGTGAAATTTTCAATCAATAGTTCCTAAAATAAAATGAAGTTCATCAGCAGATTTTTTTATTGTTCCAGACTACATAAAAATCTGGAAAAATTCTTGTATACCTGTGAAAAACACTCAATAACAAATTTTTATAACAGAAGGATAGTCTAATATATTTCTTATAAATTTAAATGTAAGAGTTTTGAAAAAATGTGAATGAATTCTTTTAGGCTACAATATTTGAGGGTGTGTACTTCAGAAAAAAAAAATAATAATGGCTTCAAAAAGTTGAATTATTTTGATACTTGAAAATGAAGATTTTTTATGAGTGAAAAATCAAATTTAAAAAAGAAAAATAAAATCACTTCTACAGCAAGATTAATTGTGAAATTTGTTTATTTTAATCAAAATGAGAAATACAAAGATTCCAAAATTGAAATATTATACGGCATAGTTGTATAATAATGTATATGATGCTCCTCGCTATCGATTTGTCATTTAAGATATAGTACGTATTTTTCCTATCATTTGACTAATAATGAAATGAATCTTTTATATTTCATTAATTATAAAGTCTTCCTGGAAGTTTCTCTCCTTTAATTTCGAAATATTTTTTAAATTATGTGTATCTAATATCTCTGTAAATGATGATTCTGCCAATGACATCAGAAAAAATGATATAAAACATTGAAAACTCTACTTTAAAAGTAAAATCTTTATGTTTATTAAAATTAGTATTGTAAAGAATACGAAAAGAATTTAAATTTTATTTGCACAAAATCTCTTATGTGGTTTGCAATACGGTCGTTGAAAACACAGACTTGTATTCGTTTTTGCAACAAAACAAACTGAATACTACGACGTTGTTATACACACATGATCTTAATATTATCAATTTTTTTTTTTTTTTTAAGAAAAGACTGAATCCCGCTATATATATATATTTTTTTAATTCACAATCAAAAAGTCGATTGTGCTTTAAAAGGACAACATTGTTTGTGAAAAAACATATATAATAAATAAAAATTAGATAAAACAAGTCTACATTTTTTAATTTTATTTTGGTTTCAATTTGTTCTAGTTACTTCATTCTAGTTACTTATACCTACGAATTGGCAAATAGCAACGCTAGAATCAAAATAAATTATAAAGCATGAAACTATATCGTCTTATCGAAAAAATAAAAATCTGTTGTATATTAATTAAAACAAATATAATAAATAAAAATCAGATAAAACAGGTTCAACAGTTTCAATTTTAATTGGCTTTCAATTTGTTTTGTTATTTATATTTCCAAATTAGATTCAAGGAAAACGATAGCAAATAAGAGAGAGCTCATTAAAGACAATGTAAATGGCAGATTATAGAAGCTACCCTACGACCTACACTTGCCCTCTCGAACGCTTGGAACAAATAAAGGGCAAAGCGGTATCACACGTAATTAATCGCGATCGCTAACGCGGAATTGCGGAAGTGAAGATACCTGATAATCGGGAGAAGTTGGCTCCACAGGTCGCGCGACGACCAGCCGCACGTGGGTGCCCGATTGTCGTAAAACCGCGGCAACTTGTTCGCTTCCCATCCCACGGAGATTGACATCGCCGATCTGCAATATGTGATCCCCGCTCTGGAGTCGATTATCCTGCGGGCACACAATGCGAGGAGAAGCATTTAATTTCCGTGGCTCTTGTCTGAAGGGCAAACGTTGACATCGCGACTCATTTTCGCCATCGCGTTTCTCATTTCCTCGTCCGTTTCCAAGCAGCTTGGAATGATATGCGTTTGATGTAAAAACCGGGTTTAACTCCGATAGGTATACTCTGTATCGTGTGCGCGTTATACGAGACCTCCTGCGTGTGAGTTACAATAAAGCGTGAAAGTTCGAGGGAGAAGAAGAATAAGAGCGCGGAGGCGCACGCGATGCGACCATGTGATTAAGTGAGCAACTTATCAAAGATTAAACCTATGATTTACGACGAGATTTACTTGTTAAGAGTCAAGTCTACGACAAAAATAATATAACGAATTATCAAGAAGGCAATATAATTAAAACTAGAAGTACCGAGCGATCTTTATCAATTTTTTTTATTTTTTAAATCAATATTATATTTCTTGTATGAAAATAGAATATTGAAATTGTTTTAATAAAGAACTTTTTGATCATTATGTTCTTTATACTAATAAAATATTTAATTTTTCATCACTTTTTTTAATCTTATAGTAATTTACAATTACTTGACCCTTTTATTCACTGTTAGATATCAGAAGAGATATGATAACTAAATTTCTGAGTTAAATTATATTTTGTTACTTTTTAACTTTTATGTATACCAAAGTATAATCAATCCACATTTGTGCTTAATTTCAAAGTAAACAACATTTATATTAACATATGTAAGTAATAAACTAAATTTAAGCCAAGTTTAATACATTTTCTTGGATTGAACTGCATTTCTCAAGTTGAATTCTAGTTAACTTCATTATTTTAGTTATAAATTAACGACACGATAAATAGAAGCAGTGATGACTTACAGAAATAATAAAAGATAACTTAAATTAGGTATAATTTGACATTATAAATTTAATAATGTAAATAAGAAACGCATTATTACTTCCAATGTTAATAATGCGCGTGTGGAAACTTGTAATTACAAACAATAATTACAAATATTATGTCGTAAATGTCGCTAAAAATACTTTCAAAATCTCACACAGAAAAATATATATATATTGTATTTAAATAATTAATTATTTGTTTCGCGTATTTTAAAAGTTCATATGTCCGCAAATCTATCACGAGTTTCATCATAAACATCAAATTTATTCGAAATATATATATAATTAAGTTTAATATTTCAATCAAGATTATTAAATTAAAACAAATTCAATTTGCTTAATACATAAAGTCGCTTTTTTCACACACACACACACACACACACACACACACACACACAATTTTATAAAAATATTCTTCAAAAGAAAATAAATTCTTGTTTTAAATACATGATGAGTTTTTCTAAATATGTATAATAAGTATATTTTAAAACTATTATCAAGAAAATATTCTCTGTTAAAAATAAATCTCTGTTAAAATACCGTTACTTAAAAGAAAAAGAGCGAAGCGAATAATTACTTTTATACCAGTAGAATAATATTTTTCTGTGTGTAGTTATAAAGAATCTTCTATAAAGAATTTAGATGTTTCCAATGAAAGAGAATATTAGCTTTCGGTTTGCTTACGCGATCGGCAACGCCTCCTGGAAGAATGGTTTTGACGACGACGCCGGTGCTACGTCCGCCGATGATGCCGAATCCAAGACCGCTGCCATCGTTAATGAGATTTATCACTTCAACTTGAGCCCATTCCGTATTCAACTGCGAACGGAAAGATCGCAAAAGCATATCTTAAAGTTCCGCCGTTCGTTGTGAAACTTTAATAATATTATTGAATGTCTCCTCCAAAAGGTAACATAATGATGCTCGGATGATATATAATGGCAATTAAACTCCTTGAAGACGCAAAATATATATTGCCGTTAAATAACAAATTTTCATCTGTCAGTGGAGAAAAATATGAAAACAAAAGTCTTTTCCATTTCTTTTAATTTTAATTGTTAGCTTAATTATTTTAAAAGTATAATGCTCTTACAGATTCAACCTAATTGGTTTGGAGTTCAATTATGCGTTGCGGCAAAACTTTATCTTTAATTAAAGTGTTACTTTTAATGGCATGTGAAATACAAATAAAAAATTTCGCAATACCATCAATTTGTGAAAACTTCGGCGTAATCTTCTGCGCGAATCGTATTTTTCGCGAGTACCCTTCGTGCTTCCCACACATTTTTAACTTCAACGACATTAACAACCATACCATATACTGCATAAAAAACGAGTTAATGAGAACAAAGTACGACGGGAAATAAGAGTAATGATGGCACACAGCATCTGCTCTACTGTGGAATATTTTAACCAACTTAACGAAACAAACAAGTTTATTTGAAATTTGTCAATAACGATGAGAGATTCAGTTTGTCACATCGATATCTCACTTCAACCACAAAGGACTGACATAATCAAGATAGAATTTTTTCATGTATTAAAATATCATAAAGCTTTCCAAGAATATCATTATTATTACAGTTATTTCTTAGTTCAAAAATCGTTTTGAGAGATTATAATTATAATACAAAGTTACTAAATATATAATTAGAATAAAAATAAATTTAGATGTAGATACAATAAATAGAGCAATTCTCTCATATTTTTAAGTGACCATATATGTATATTAAGAGAAAATATTTTAAATTTTCATAAATATTTATTTAAATAGTGCCAATTAAACATTTATTTACAGTAAATAAATATTTATTCAGTAAAAATAAATGATATTTAAATTAATACTTTTTATGTTCCTTACATTTAGTAAATATTTAGTCGGCACTATGAAACCACTGCACTACGATGTTTTTTTAATTGATAACTCGTAATTGCCTAAAATCAATAGAACAGCAGAACAAGCAGAAGCAACTAATCTCTGTTCGCAACATGTTAGGTCATTAAATTTGATTGGTTCTCTTGAGTTTGCTTCGTTATCGTCCACGGCCACAATTAACGAGCTGTTTAATATTAACGTTCCGATTTCCGATAGCTCTTGCAGGATGCTCACAATGGTCTGTAATTTCCGATAAATCGTAGCCAAGATTTTCGAATCAATTTTTTATCATTTACTTCCTCGGGTATATCCTAGTGTATTGACGATATTGTTGAAAAATTAATGAAATTTATTTGTGCCAGAATCTCTGCTTCCCTTCATAAAGCACTCCATTCGGAGTGTAATATCGCTTCCCTCCCCTGTTTATTGTCCCGAGATAATCCTTTCATTTCCGGACGCTTTGAAATACACGAAGAAACGAAGTCGTAAGTGGTAAA